ATGACACGTGAAAATCCACAAAAAATTTCGATTGTAGATATAAAGCTTAATTAATCCAAAATATATTTTATTTTAAAGTTCCGACTACAGAGACGCTTATTTAAAAGAATTTAATTTAATCAAAACATTTTTCAAAAAACAAATATCTGTTATTCAAAAGAAGATTAATAGAAATCAGATAAACCAAATTACTCCAATTTCTGCATAATTATTTAGCTTAATTTTATGTTATATAAAATAAATATTAAAGCTTGATCAACTTTTTAAGAATTCTTAAATAAATTTAAAAAAAGATTAATTTTTTTAAATAAAGGATAATTTTCGAAAAATTTGTAAAATAGAATATAAAAATTTCAAGGACAGAAATATTATTTCTTAACTTCGTAAAATTATGTAAAAAGTTGAGAACTTTATTTTACGTTTTTAATTTTGTTTATTTATTTAATATAAACATCTGTTTCAAGAAAAAAAGCCAATAGCTTTGTTAGAATACTTAGAATTATTAAAAATTTAATAAATTGAAAGACATTTACACTTTAAAAATGTTGGATAATTAAATAAATAATTATTTAAATTTATTATGTTGCTATAAAGTCATTACTAGAGGCATTTAAACATGTTAAAATTTAATTGCACTCTAAAATTTACTTTTTAAATCTTTAATTAGGTTTCGGATTTTTAACAAAATTAAATCTGAAAATTTGTCCACAAAATGTTGTAGTAATATTGCATGATAATTACAAAAAGTGCCAAAAATTAGTGAAATATTCAAATAATCTGGCCTTTATCAGTCCAAAATACCTTCGTTATTCTTATATTTACTCATAGGCTATTCAATTCTCCTTTTTCATTCAGTTCTTTCCAATTCAATTAATGGATAAGGGTTATTCTGGATAGGTGTTATGACCTCCGTCATTCTTGAACCCAACCTCGGACCTCGTCTGAAATTTGGCCCTCGCCCTCGATCTCGGCTTTTTCAGTCGGCAGGCCGAAACTTGCGGACCGACTTTTGCGGACCGAAACTTGCGGACCCGACAATTTCTAAAAACATAGCTCATTCGACTCAGCTCGACGAGCTGAGTCGAATGACATCAAAATCATCGTGATTGTACAAGCTTCGACAAAGTTACGATAGAAAAACAAAAACCTAAACCTATGGTCCGCAAAAGCGGTCCGCAAGTTTCGCACTACGTACCAAAGTACTCGTTATTACCGATTATCTAGCAACTTTTAAATATGATTAATAAAATATTTTATTCATTTTGTAAATTATTTCCTAATTTTTTTGTCATTTTCTGTTGTTTACTTGATAAAAATCTGTCTATTTTTAATCTATCACTAAGCCTTGGTCCGGGCTATAACTCTATAATCTTAATGGAAATAAGTTTTGAAGTAAATTTAATTGTTGAAGGACTGTTAAACAGTGCCTTGCACTTCGTACGTGCGTTATTTTTTCACATTAATTTTTCCTTTTTTTTCACCGTCGGAGGTGAAAATTTTAAGATTTTTTAAGTTTTATGAGAAAAAATTTATTTGTCAGAGCCGCCGACAAAAATTTTTTTTTAATTTAGATGGTATTAAATTTTCGAGCCAAGGCGAAAATTACTGAAAAATTCACAAAAATTCCGACAATATTTTAAATAAAAGCTCATTCTCCCACACAATTTCAAATTTATTTAAAAATATTTACTATTACTAGTCTAAGCATATTAACAAGTTCATTTTTTGGTTCGAAATATGAGATATTGTTTTTTTATTTTTCACATTAGTCCGAGCGTCACGGCATTTTTTAATAATTACATGATAACCAGAGAGAGTTTTTTAGGTCCAAAAAACCCGAGAATAGGCACCTAAATAGGTTCGAAAAAAGGCTAAAATAGGTTCAAAAAATTTCGAAAAGTGGCAAAATAGGTACGAATTTTTAACAAAAAGGTTTGAATTTTTCGAGTTTTATCAATTTTTCGTTTCCAATTTATGGTTTTTCAATATTTACGGGCCTGTAACTCGGCCATATCAAGTCAGAATGCGCGGATTTTGGTGTCATTCGAGAAAGGTCATTCGCAAAAGTTCCAACTTAGATAAGTTTTACCTAAGTACCTAAGTACAAAACTCCGCGCTTCGCGCGGAGTTTTGCGGCACGCGTCTCGCAGGGAGTCTACGGTCGCTGTGTTCTGGGCTCGTAACATAATCCTATCCCAATTATCAATAAGGTGGGCATGCTTGGCTTCCTCCGCAGCAGCAAAAATTTCAACGGATACATAGGTAAGGAGCTAAAACAAACGGTCATAACTTTGTCATTTCAAGTCTGATTTTATTGATTTTAGTGCCATTCGACTCATCTCGACGAGCTCTTTCAAATGAGCTATTATTTGCATATTCGAATTTTTCACCCCAAAATTGAACTTACTCCCCCTTATGGTTTTTCGATTTTTGGGCGCCTCTATCTTGACCCATAGGTGAGTCCCGAAGCTAATTGGGGGGAGGGGAGTAAGCACTTTTTTGGGGTGAAAAATTCGAGGGAGTCTACGGTCGCGGGGATCCCTCGCGGGGAGTCTACGGTCGCTGGGCCTGGGCTCGTAACATATTTCTATTCCTATCATTATGAGGTGAGCATTGTTGTGTCCGCACTTGCAGAAAGAACATAAATGAAAATAAATAACCCAGCAATGGGTTGGATGGTGGCACAGTCGGTTGTGCTTCGGTTTGGGCTCATTCCATGATGGTTCAATTCCATCTACCATCCACAATTTTTCCACAGCATGAACATCGGACATTATAATGGCGCAGTCGCACAGGCCGGGCATAGCCCGAGGAAATTTAAGCGAACCTTCAAATGCTGTGATGATCTGAAATTCTGTCACTGTGGAGAGAAAAAGGAGAAGACCCTGTGAGAAATTAAGAAAAAAAAATGCCTGAGTTGTGATAGGCTAGCCGGTGGTGTGAAGGCTAATATATAAATAAAATGCGTAAGGCGCATGAAGCGCAGCATATGCCACAAAATGGGTTTCTGTGTGTTCTCTCCAAAAATCGAAACAGTTGATAGTTATAGAAGACAAGCAACAAGCGAGGACGCTTGATTTCGCAAGGCGGAAGGAGTGTTGTGTCCGCACTTGCAGAAAGAACATAAATGAAAATAAATAACCCAGCAATGGGTTGGATGGTGGCACAGTCGGTTGTGCTTCGGTTTGGGCTCATTCCATGATGGTTCAATTCCATCTACCATCCACAATTTTTCCACATTGAAGTGTCCGAGCTTTACTATAGGAAGCTAAATATTTATATGTATTAGATTCATCTCTAAGATTTACTGAGGATATCAATAAGCCCTATAAATACATCTCTCAGATATGCTGAGGAAAAGCTCAAATCATTTATATAAATTTATTCTTTAAATAAATACAAACAATATATGGTCACTGGGGAAATGGGGTGGAAATAAGTCTCTCTCTAATGAGGTCTCTCGGTTAGGAGGTCCCCCATAAGGAAATAAGTTTGGGGTTTATATACAGGTGAAAATGGGTGGAAAAGTACAAAGTAAAATGATATAAGGAAAAGGTCAATGTCGGTCATTTAAATATATGAAAGGAAATTTGAAAGATGGGAAGATGATATAAAACGATAATAAAATGATGAGTGGTTAGACAAAGGAAATATTTGAATATGGGGGGAAAAGGCAAAATAAATAAAATAATTATGTCAGACAAATTTAAATATATTTTTCTTAATCACGGACATAACATCCCTTCCTCCTTTGAAAAAGCTTCTCCCTACCATAATATTAGGGGTATTTCAAATACATTAGCATCTGCCATCAAAGATAATTTCTCGTGTCATAACACGGCAATCTCGAGATCTCCACTACATAACGGGGTTTACTAATTTTCCACAAATTACTCCCATTTTATTTTATATTTCTCTCTATATCTAGAGGTTTTACAATTCGTCTACTAGCTAGTTTATAAATATTCTAAATTTTCTTCAATCTCCATCTAAGGACATAATCGCAGCTTACGATGGGATAATTCTTTGATACTTAATCTTAATATTTTACTTTATTCAATCATTCTCCATAAATGGGTTTAATTTTTCTTTTCCATTTCTCCCAAATTTATGACCATTTATTTTTAATCAACTAACTCCTCCGTTTTTAACAAGAAGGGATTGGACATCAAATCAGACTAATTTCTTTCCTCTTCTTTACTGAAGGCTTATTCTAATACAAATATTTTCTTTTTAGAAATATTCAGCTACCAATTTAAAGCTCATCTAACAATTAGCTAAGAGTCTAAGTCTATTTATCAAAGCTTTCTTCGCCTAAAATACAGCGGAATAGCTTTTTCTCTCGCTCATCACAGAGCGGTATTTTTTTTTTAATTCCGTGGCCTACAACACTGACCACAAGCCCTACAACGCTGAGCTATTATTTATTTCAATTCCGTGGCCTACAACACTGACCACAAGCCCGACAACACTGAGCTATATTTTTTTTAATTAACTGGCCTACAACACTGACCAGGAGCCCTACAACACTGAGCTATATATTTTTTTTAATTTAAAATCTTCCGTAAGACGGAGCTGGTTTTTATTGATATCGGGCTCCACCCGGTTCGCTGTCGACCGCGCCATTGAAGTGTCCGAGCTTTACTATAGGAAGCTAAATATTTATATGTATTAGATTCATCTCTCAGATTTACTGAGGATATCAATAAGCCCTATAAATACATCTCTCAGATATGCTGAGGAAAAGCTCAAATCATTTATATAAATTTATTCTTTAAATAAATACAAACAATATATGGTCACTGGGGAAATGGGGTGGAAATAAGTCTCTCTCTAATGAGGTCTCTCGGTTAGGAGGTCCCCCATAAGGAAATAAGTTTGGGGTTTATATACAGGTGAAAATGGGTGGAAAAGTACAAAGTAAAATGATATAAGGAAAAGGTCAATGTCGGTCATTTAAATATATGAAAGGAAATTTGAAAGATGGGAAAATGATATAAAACGATAATAAAATGATGAGTGGTTAGACAAAGGAAATATTTGAATATGGGGGGAAAAGGCAAAATAAATAAAATAATTATGTCAGACAAATTTAAATATATTTTTCTTAATCACGGACATAACAAGCATCCCAGGCTTCCTCCGCCGCAGCTAACACAACCGGTCATAGCTTTGCCAAAACAACTTGTTTTAAGGGCTCCCCATGTTGGTTCAATTCCTTTGCTAGCCCTTAAGCAAGGACTCTCATTGGACGCATAAACTTTCATAGGGAATGACATGGAATTAATTGAAGTAATGAGTAGAAATAATTTTATTTTAAAAAGTAAATTTACGATATAAAAAATTATTTTAACTCGTAGTAATTTGTAGGTTTGTAGAATAAAAATTTGTTAAATTATTTAAATGTTCAAGCTACATTTCATGTTATAATTTTAGTATTATCATTCCAATTTCCGACTTTCAGACTGACCCTCCGGAATAAACAAAGTATGAAGCAGAAAATTGGTTTTTGGAAGTAAATCTCTTCATTTTCAGCGCCGCAGGCGCTGTTAAAGGGAGAATAGGGTAAAAGAGAGAAATTCTAAGAAATTTGACTAAAATTGCCACCCTGAGATTAATATTTTATTTTAAAAATCAAAAAAAATTTTTTCTACATAACTAACAATTTTTATTTACGTAATTAAATTAAAATTGGAGAAAATTATATTTCGTTTTTACTTTTTTGTCTAATTTAATTTACAATTTGTTTCAATAAAAATTATCACGAAGCAAATTGTTAGCTTTTAAAATGTTTAGAATTTGTAAAATTTTATTTAAACCACAGACTAATTCAAATATACATATGAATAAATTTTAATTAAATTTATGATTATTTAATTAAAAACCTATGTCTCTATAAATACGTTACAAAAAGTATTTGGAGATTAATGAATTTACAGGGTGACAAGAAAGTAATGGGTAAACTCATAAAGCTATTTTTGTTAACACAATCCATATATGTATGTCTCTTTAACTAAAAATTATAATTTAGTACTAATTTCAAAAATGGAATATATTTTGTGGAATCGTCATGAATTTAACATTATTTATAATTGTACAGGAATTAATGTAGATGATGTTCCTATTGAAAAAAGAAGATATCCAATAACTGCAATTATTTGTATAATACTTGGATTTATATATTATGTAGATTTTTTGAATTAAAAATTTTTTAAAATTTAACTTTAAGCCTTTATATTTCCCTTGTCTCTACTCTTTTTGGAAGAATAAAAACAAAAATCCTTGCTATTTATTGTTAATTTATCTCTCAATTTTGGATATTTGTATGCTTTGGATACCAACTTTTTCATTCGGAATTCTCAGTTTAAACGGGGTTGTCTACTGTTCTTCACCTGTATATACATACTTTGTTGGTTGTATTGGTTTATGTAAGTGCATAAAAATGAGGGTTAATAGATTAATCAACAAGACACGCATACAAGTTACATTCCATGTTGTCTTCCGCCTATGCCTTCCACAGTTCTCGCTCTTTTTAACCCTTCCGCTTTTTTTAACCTTGGCTTTAAGGAGGTTAATAAAAAACAATACCCAGCTCGACGAGATTTTCGAATAAACTATTATTTGTATATTCGAATTTTTCACTCCAAAAATTAGCCTAATTCCTCCTATAGATTTTCAATTTTAAAGACCCGTCGAAACGAACTTGAACACGTCCACGAATCAATGGCATGTGTTTTGTATCGAAATTTTCCCTCAGGTGTACTAAACTTCAGTTCTGGAAAGTCCCTGATCTCATTTACATGTTCTAGCCTCTCCCTTCGCTGTTTGTAACATTCTGTTGCGAGAAACGTTATTTTTAACACGTCCACATTATAAATCTAGGACAACCCTCGGACATAACCTTTTACATCTCTCACTATATTTACTAAGATATTTTTCAGATTTATGGGCCGCTGAAGTTTCTGCTGATTTGGTCTAATAAATAAATTAAAAATTGCTAAAAATTAATATTTTTTTAGATTTTGGGGATAAATCGTTGTATTGAAATGGCATTTCCATCAATTTCAAAAAAACTTTTTCACAATAATCGTGTCTATATTTGGATTATTTTTAGTAATTTGTATGGACTTTATTGGCTTTTATTTCGACATCCTGTTATTTTTAATGGAATAATATTTCAAGTTTCCTTTGAACCATTAACTGGATATAGAGATTTTAGAACGGAATTAGTAATTTAAATTTAGTTAATTAATTTTAATATTTTCAGTTCAATGAAGATTTGAGAAACATTACTATACTAGACACAACATTGGCTGTAGGTTCTCCAATAATTTATTTGATTTTTTCATTTTGTGTTTTCTTCAAAACACGTGAATTAATTGATAGTGTTTCTAAAGAGGAGAAAATGGTTAAAATTTTATTATTCCCCAATTTCAAATAATAGGAAGGTCACTACCAGAAATCCGTGTTTATCTATACGATTTTTTGCCTGATCACCAATTTAAAAAGTCGTATAGAAACTTGGCTCCGGCTCCAACTTGTACTTATATACTCCTCCCCCTCCCAGTCAGTTTTTTCGAAAAATATGTAAAAATTGTCAGTCTGAACAACAATTGTAGAACCCATCATGACGTTGATTTTGGGTCATTTAATTCAAATCGGCGAGCTCTCTCGAATGAGTTATCATTTGTATAAATTTTCGCCTTATGGTTTTTCGACCCTATGATTTTTCAATGTTCAGGGGTCTGTATCTCGGTCAAATCAAGTCGGATTTTTTGATTTTGGTGTCAATAATCACAGCTCGATGAGTTTTATAACCTTTAGGCTGACCATTTTTTACATATTTACCGAAAAAAGTCGCCGACACCCTCATACTTAATTAGCCGAGGAAAATTATGGTAGAGAGAGGAAAGGATAAAAATGCAGCAAAAATAGTTTTTTTGCAGAAAACCATTTGCGAACATGTGTACAGCGAGCTGGACATTTACCCATAAATTCGCACGATAGATTAGATAGATGTTTATTAAATCTGTAATATTTTAAGGTCTTTCTTCAAGTATTTATCATTTCAATGTTAAATACATCCAATGGTATTTCCTATGCTTACAATATGAATCATTCAGATCTTGGAATGTTGCCATTAATGATTGCACACTTTACTTGGTAAATAAATTAGTATATAAATTTATTTTTATATAATTTTTATTCAATTTTTAAGGTTACATATTCATGGTATGTTAATCAAAAAATGAATTTATTTATTAAAACAGGGTGACCCTTTTACCTCATCTGAGCGGTTTTCCCATTTTTGACTCTCGACCCCTCTTCTATCCCTTTTTCTACATACTCCTGTTAATGATATGGAAAGGGTCACCCTGATCAAGAAACAAATTTAAATATTTTTTAAATTATTATTTAAGGTTTCCCACCAGTAATTTACTTAACATTAAACAAAACTGTTCGGACTGACACAAAAATTCTTCTGGGAAAATTTTTTAGTTTCTTAAAAACAAATCAAAATCAAGTTTCAATTATGTATGGACCTGCCCAAAATGGATGAAGTAAATATGTTGCGTATCAAATGTGTACCTAAAGAGATCTTAAAAAGCGAATACGAAAGAAAAACATGAAGGCGAAGGTATATTATCCTTAAAATTCATAACGATTTTATAACATCTTTTGAATTAGTGTAGTAAAAAATAAGGGGTAATTATTTGAGGGAGGGCAATTATTGTTTCGATCTCCCTCTACATGGGGTATTTAATACAGGTGGGGTAACATTAATACAGTTTTTACGGTAATCAAAAAATTTTTCAAAAAAAATATTTAATAATTCAACAACTCCAATATCTGTTGTTCCAAGAGTTGTTAATAACAATCAGATAAACCAGATTACTCCAATTTCTACATAATTGTTTAGATTATTTTTAAGTAATATAAAATAAATATTTAAACTTGATAAAATTTTTAAGAATTCAATTTTATTAATTAAATAATTTTAAAAAATTAATTTTTTAAATAAAAGATGATTTTGGTAAATTTGTAAAATTTAATAAAAATATTTCATAGACACAGAAATATTATTTAATAATTGTTTGCAAAACTATTCCAGCTGCTCATTCTATTTTAGTTGTAACCAGCTGCTCCTTATGCATGCGCATTAAATTTGGAATTAAAAATCGATGTCTCTATATTCAGTTTTTAAATAAAAAAATGAAAATAAACTTGAAATAGCCCAATCATTAATAAATTGTTTTATATAAACTTTTTAAACAGTGTCCTCTGGAAACTGTTTAAGATACTTCTGGAAATTTCGGGTACCACCTGTGATGGTACCAAGTCTAAAAGTCAGATTTTTTGGCGTAACTGGGATAAATTTTCTGGAATTGTAAAATAAATTACAGCAAAAATAATGTCCGCATTAGATGTGTAGATAGGCTGAAGAGGCGAAAAATGCGGAAAACGGAAACGGAAGTTCGTAAATCGTAACATCCTTGGTACATTCTTAGAAAATAAATGTTAAATTTTTTATACAAAAATTCATTTGCATGATTAGAACTGCTTAAGTAATTATGTTAAAACAAATTTGAAAGTATGCGGAAACGAATTTTTTGTTAAAGTTATGGCAATTTTTAAAGTCACGAATTTCTTTCTTATACATTTTCCTTTAAAAAACATTTTCCAAGAAAATTTAACAAAACTCAACTCTAAAAAAATTAATTCAATTATTTTATTTTAATATTAATTTTCATTATCCATTATATTCATAAATAAAAATTCACACATTTTAATTAAAATTTCAATAATTAATGGACAACAAAAGTTTCTATAGCGTTAGTTTTTAATTTTTTTTCTATAAAAAATATTAAAATTAATTTAAGCCAATTTTTTCAAAATACAATCAAGTTGGATTTGTTCCTGAATTATTTTTTAATGCATTAACTACTACATTATTTTCTTTAATTCTTATGATATTAAATTCTAGCCTTTGCTATGTCTTTATTAAATACAGGTAGTCTCTCTAAACTATCCTGCACTGTATCTATTTCGTAATGCCGATACATACCGAAGGATACATTCGGTAGTATGGCACGGTCCGAATCTTTGAATAATATCCTTGTTAGGTTTGGTTATTGGTTTAATTCTGGTTTCGGATATCCGAATATTTCCCTGTAGCGTCAACACTAGCTTTATCTACATATTTTGACTTATTATAAAATTAAATTTATGTATTAAAATTAAGGCAACTATATAGTACATTAAAAAG